TGGATCCCCTGCTTTCAAACTCCATTTGTTCTCAAAATAATTCTTGACTAAAAACCATCCATACAGTTTCTGATCCACACGTTAGAAACTGCCATAACTTCTGTATTCACACTACTACATACTCTTCATCCATCCAGTCAAAGAAGTCAGAACATCACCCCCTTGCCATCCTCAGAAGTTGGAAAATTTCAGCTTACTGAGTACGTGAAGAAGCTGTTCAGAACGTCATTAGAGTTGAGGTTAACTCCGGTTAACAGAACTTCTTCCAGCTGCAAGGTAAACTTCTGATGACTCCACCACATTGCTTAAGCATCACCATATTTGTATGCTCAAAAACACAATGTAGATATCATGTTTCTGATGTTGTACATATTCTGAGATTTTCACGCATCTATCTGTTTAAGTAGAGAATGAATCAATTCAGAACTTTCTTGATGAAACTAAAACTCAGAGTTAGGATTAACAAAGGCATACTGGCCTCTGATTTATGGTTCTGATATTCCTTATTTCTGAAACACTATGACACCTGTTGTAACTGTCCTAGGCATGTCTTATGTTTTGTGGAGAAATAACCAAATTGAAGATATTCTTACTAGCATAGAGAGGGAGAGACCAAGTGTTGTCACTGGCACCAGCGCTTTTGGAGCCTGTTTTGTTACCAGTAATAATATCAGAACTTCTGAAAATTAATGTGTCCCCAGTGGGTTCAGAACCTCTGACCTCATACATTTTCACTAACAGGTTTCTGTTTTGCAGTGTGTCGGGGTCATAACCTCTGACCCTATACATTTTCACTAACAGGTTTCTGTTTTGCAGTATGCCAGGGTCAGAACCTCTGACTTCATTTTTTTTCCAGCAACACGCTGATTCTCTTTTTCTTCCCATTGTTATTATTTTTGCTATCACTCTCCATTCCATTGATCAGCAAACATCAAAAATATTTCCTTCACACTTTATTTTATTTCTTAAAATAAAAGACCAAAAATATTTTCTAAAAACAAAACAAGTCCATTTCACATTTTCTTGTACATTTCTATGCACTTCAATATGGTTGTAATAGTGATTTAGGACTTTATTTTTATTTGCAACCCCCATTCATAAACTTGTACCCCCACCCCCTAAATATTGTAATAGCGTAGGACTTTACACTTCTGTAATTTATCTCTTTCAAATGTAAATGCTAGTAATTAGGGTGTGTATGGAAAGACCTGAAAACAACAAAATAGACAACCCTAATCAAGACAAAATCAAGCATGAAAATAACACACTTGCACACAAGCATCCCTAGGGTTTCTCCACTTGGTTGCCTTATACAAAAATAGCCATATTACGCATGCGAAGTATCTTGGAAAAACAAACAAATATAAGATCATAGTTCCTCGATGAAGCCATTCTATTTTGCCTTAAAAAATGATCTTGGTCCCTCAAAAAATGCTAAGATACTTTGTAACATTGCTAATCATGGTTATACGATGACCCGCACCCGTCCCGTTAACATCCAAAGATAGGGTTGCTTACCAAATCAATGGCAAGAAAACAATGTCAAAGGAATAGAAAATAAACAAGAAAGACACTTGAGTAGGTAGTTTGCTCTTAATTACTTGCTCCATTTCGAACAAATATCCTTTCTATTTTCAAAACAAACACACACATTTCCAAACATCTTACAAACATTGAAAACATTTTCAAAAAGACAAACATCTTTGTATACATTCTTACGAACGAGAATCATTACAAAGATTTCCTAAACAATGGCCTCTTTTACAAAATACTTTCAAAACCACACAAAAGCACAATTTCAAACAAAAGCAAGTGATCTAGCAAGTAACTAAGAGCCCATGGAAAACCATGGATGAAAAGGGTTCTAATACCTTCCCTTTTCATAATCTACCCCCCAAACTCAAGAAAACATCTCAAAGGTCTTTCCTGTGCTTTTTCACCTTTCCTTTTGGATAAAAGAAAAGTCGGTGGCGATTCTTGCTAAATCGCAACATTTGTGAACACAAACGCAAAACCCTCAAGTCAGTTCTCCCACCGTATCACAGAACTGACGACTCTGTTGGGGAATTTTTAAAAGTGGGGTTACCTTAGGGTTAGATCACATTTATTTCTTACATTGTTTGACTTGTTTGCTTTACATTATGATTCTTTGTTTGGGTTTGAAATCCTCTACCCAGATTTGGGATACATTATAGGTAAATAGCAATACGTTGTGGAAACTGTGTGGGGTATACCGACATGATCTAAGCAATATCTATGTTAGTGTGACATATTTGTGGGTACCGGTAGCCTTTGAGTTAATTAAAGAGAATACGGGGCTGCTGAGTGATGTCGTGAAGCACTAATGAACTCCTAGAACCCTCTACTTGACCAACTTGGCCTTTAGGATGTAGTGAGATGACCGACTTTGGTGCAGTCCGAAGTTGGCAGATACTCGATACTACACTCATTGAGGTTTGGTTTCTTGGGATATTTTGGTCGCCATTAAAGAGGCTTGAGCTGAAACAATGACCAAGGAAACAATCCAGTGATATTGAGCTCCTTAGAACTCGGTTACTATTACTATGACAGGTTTAAGCCAACTAAACTTCAAGAGGGTACTTACCTATAAAACCCCATGCAAGCCTAAACTAAGGACTTGTTTGATTTATTTGTATATGCATACTTGTACATAGCATCATGGACATCATGAACATCACATGCATCCACTAACCATTTCAAGGATTTTGGAGATTCATCTTTGTTCTTGTTTTGTAGGATATGGATTCACATCGCAGGAAAACTATCCAAGTCAACCTTGTAAGAATTCCTCCACAACTTAAGGATCTAGCTTCAAGGATCCCTGAGAACTCTCTGTTCACTGAGACACATAGTCGTCTACTCAACTTGGTCACCTCCAACACATATGAGGATATGATGAAGGTGCTCTTTCAGTTCTTTGATCCTTTGCACCATTGCTTCACATTTCCCGACTATCAGATTGTACCTACTTTGGAAGAATTCTCTCAACTCTTGAGGATTCCCATTCTCAATCAACTACCTTTCAATGGTACAGAAAGAGACCCAAAGCCATAGGAGATTGCTCAAGCTTTGCACTTGCACTCATCTGATGTCACAGCTCATTGGGAAACTAGGAGTGGTGTTAAAGGCTTCTTAGCAAAGTTCCTGTTTGAGAAAGCCCAAATCTATTGGAATTCCTTAGACTTGCAAGCCTTTGAGGAAATTGTGTCTCTACTTATGTATGGGATGGTCTTGTTCCCTAATCCTCACCAACTAATTTCCCTTTGTTGAAAATAGGCATTCAACGCTTGATAGACAACAAAGAGATTTTGTTTGAAAGTACTCCTGTTTCACCTGTTTTTGTTGAAGATGTTTCAATCATTACTGTAGCGGTGAAAATCGGAGATCGAACTATTAATTAATTCGTCTCACAAAAGCAAGAGTCGCCACCGCGCTTTATTATTTCCAAGGGAAAAGGGAAAAGAGCGAAATAAAACCCTAAAATATGCAATGTAAAGTAATATTTAAAAGTAATGAAAATACAATGCATTTTTAAAAGAGACCGAGAGTTCGGGGGTTGGTTATACAATGGGAAGGTATTAGCACCCAATGCATCTGCGGTACTCCGCAGGAACCTTTTGAAATATCTGTTTTTTTTTGTTAAAATTGTTTGTTTAGTTAAATGGGTATGGATGAGATTTTGAAGATACGACGACCTAGTGTTGAAGTTTTGACTTAAAAGGTATGAGTTTGAAAAATGGAGTCTTTTGGGAAAATTATCTTAAGTTTGGAAAAATAGTAAACAAGCAAAAAATGAATAAGGGTATTCGCACGATTGTAGAAGATGTATTTGATGACATGAAGTCAGCTGAGTTGAAACATTTCCCTTGGAATTAATCATAAGCAGGTAGATCTAATATTCGAGTAAGAAATCATAAATAATTAAAATCCACGAGAAACGAACAAGGTAGATAACAAGATAATTGTAAGAAACTAAATGAATGGACAAAGAAGAATCATGAATAAAAGAAAAGTGTAATTAAAAAAATATCTAAACTAATTTGAAATTCTAAGGTTACTAAGTAAACTAAACTTAAATTCTAAAGTGTCTAACTAAATTAAATAAAATTTTGAAGTTATTAACTAAAACTAAATTAAAATTCTAAAGTTACTAACTAAAATTCGAAAGTTATTAAATTAAATCTAAAATAAATTAACACTCTAATATTACTGAATTAGGTCAAAACTAAATTAATTCTAAAGTTGCTAAATTACATCTAAACTAGTTTAAGTATAAACTAAATTCATTATAAAATTACTAATTTAATCTAAACTATATTAATAATAAAATTACTAACTTAAATCAAAACTAAATTAATTCTAAATTAAAGATTAAAATTCTAAGATTAAATTAAAATTCTAAAGTTATCAAAATGTATCTAAACTAATTGGAAGTTCTAAAGTTATAAAATAGATCTAAACAAATTAAAATTTTGAAGTTATCAAAATATACCTAAACTAATTAAAGGTTCTAACATTACTAATTTATATCTAATTAAATTAAAATTCTAAAGTTATTAAATTAAGTCTAAAACTAATCTAAATAATTAAGATTATCTAGTTAACTAAAATATAGTTGTTTAATTAAATCTACAAATAACTAGATTAACTAAACTAATTATTATTTAAAATGAACAAATTGAGAGGGTATAACTAATAATTATTGGAGGGGGAAGTAGTAAAAGCGGTCGGGCCTAAAAAAATGAAACAATAAGCCCAAATTGTAACACAAATAAAAATCAGAAGAATATTTAAAAACAAAATGATGGGCCGGACCGGGTCAGGGTGGTCCGGACCCATCTTCCAAACTCACAAAAATTGGGTTGAAGAAAACCCTATTATTCTTTATTTCTCATAACGGCCATAGTTGCAGAAAACTTCTTTCTACCTTCTCTCAATCGTGAATCTCTTATCCTCCATCGCCATCTTAACAAAATCCAATGGCGGAGTTTCGAATCCTTCGCCACAAACTTCCTAGAAACCTCCTTCTTCACCGAAGTAGCCTTCACAATCTTCGCCTTCGGCTTCAATACATCTTTCACTTTAGGTTTTACAGCAGCTTTCGGTTTCGGTTTCGCAGTGGCTTTAGCGGCAATTTTGGTCGGAGCGGTTTTCTTGGGTTTGGTTTGAGCGGGTGAGGTGGAGGAGACTCGGGCGGTGAAGCTGCTTTTGTTATTTTTTGGGGTGGTTCGGTTTTGAGAGGGATTGAAATGGGTGAGAAAGCGTAAATAGTGGAAGTAGAAGAAAGTTCGTTAGTATCAAGAATGCTTTGTTGATCAACTCCGAAAATATCAACAATGGAAGAAAGCGTATCACCATCAGAGATCAAGTAGGTGAGAAGATACTTGAAGCCTTGATCAGTCTGTTTCTTGGTGGGACAAGCACATCTGAGAGGAACTGTTAGGTTGAGACCAACAGTGAGGTTTCGAATAGCGTAAGGATTCTGAGCGATAAGAGCTTGACATGGGGTAAGAGTCTGGTAGGTGTAATTAGCGACGGAGAAATAGGTTTCACCGAGGATGTTCAAAGTGTAGGTAGAGTTATGTTGGTAGTATTTGTTGTTGCCGGTGCAGGAACAAGTAAAGGGGACGGTTAGGATGGTGTCGTTGGGGATGGTTTGGAGAAGAGGAAAGAGGAGGGAGTATCACGCGTTGGAAAGAGAGAAGAGGAAATACTGTAAGTGCCACTGTTTTGTTTTTTTTTGTCCTCTTTGTGTGTTTCTACCCTGTGATCTCCTCTCCTTAGAACTACTTTTATAGCTGGAATAAACTGAGGTTTGGGAGGGGAAAAAAGTGTGATATTTAGAAACTGTTTTATTACTTTTATGATGCCATTTTTGTGTTGCTATTTTGATGTTTATGTACAGGGAAATAACATGTTTTTGGACTATTGTTATGGACTGGTTTACAAGGCCATTTTGCAGAGGTTGCAGAGGATGTAGGGGTAGCATTGCAAGCTTTATGGACAGACTCGGGCATGGCAGTAATATCAGGTTTTTGGCAGCAACAAAAGCATAGAAGTAGCAGCATTTTGGATAATGACAAGGCAGTAGGACCTGGTTTCCTTGTGGACAGATGGTGCAGGCTGGTTGGACTGATATGGTGCAGATTCACAGCAATGGGCAATAGGACACCTTTCAGGATTTCATGGTTGTTTGTGGGCAGCAAGATAGCATTGGCATGGAATGATTTTTGGAGTGTTTTGCTTGGAGCTTTGTTAATGTTTTCTTCTTGATTCCCTTTTCTTGTTTTTTAAACTCTTCTTATATAGTCAATATCAGTGGAATTCAAGGGAGAAACTTGATAGGTTTTTGAACAAATATGGTGTTATGCATTGTGGCTTTTCTTATGCAAGTTTTGTATAATCAACTTGGTGAGAATTCTGGACTATTACAGCATGGTTTGGGCAGCATACCGTCAGAGGTTATTTTGACTGCTTTTCTTGTAATTGTGAGGTAAAACTTTCCAAATTGTTCCAAAATCATTCTTCCTTTTTGTTGCTATTCTTTTGGACAAAAGATAAATACAATGATAATAATAATAATAATAATAATAATAATAATAATAATAATAATAACAATAATAACTTAAAAGAAAATCGTTATGATAATTAAATAATTAAACTAAAAAAATCTATAAATGAAAATTGTTATGAACAAATAAATTAAACTAAAAAATACAAAGATGAAAAATGTTATTAATAACAAAAATAAACAAATAAAAAGTGACAGTAAAGAAAGTGATTTTAATTTTTGATTTTAATAACAACGATAATTATAATGATAAAAGGTAAGAAACAATAAAAGAATTAAACTAAAAATATAAAATAAAGTAAAAGAGACATTAAAATATTTTATACACATGTCAAACTATGTCAAATTAAAACTAAATTTAAAATTAAAAACAAACATGAAAATGAGACTACATATTTTTTTTGAATTAAAAGAAAAGAAATTTGCAAATAAAATGATACTAAATAAATTTTTTTGGATTTTGTTTTTTTTAATGAAAATAAGAATAAAAGAAAGATGACTAAAAGTGCAAAAATACATGATTTAATAAATTCGGGCAAGACCAGTTAAATTTCACTAAATTCACCATGATTTATAACGTTTCTATTTTTTCGTGGCTTTTTTAAAGCATAATAATCTCTTGATTTGTAAAGAAAAATTGTAGATGATTTCAAGGAGAATCATATGCAAAAAGAACCATTCAAAAATATTGAATAATGAAGAAGTTATGATCGTTTGAACTTGAATGTGCAAGCGTTGACTTTTGGACAAAGTGCTTTGAATTGACCTACAAACTTGATCTTTCTTCGCATTCCAAAGCATCTTGATGCACATGTGAACCAGTGATGATGAAATCTTGTTCGTGCTCTGAGGAAGTTGTGGAGAAGCTTGAGACCACTTGTTGAATAGAGCGTGGGAATAATCACACGATTGCCCTGATGAATCAGTCTTCAAGAATCAACGATCAATTGTACTTCTGGATTGAGAGATTCCGAACCCTAATCGAGGCGTGACGCCTGATGCTCTTGATTCAGATCTGTTTCCTGCAAATGAAAATCAAAGAAACGAAAAACACACACACTTCGTGCTTGATTAGAAGTTAGTGATACATAGGCTAAGAATGTTCAAAATATTTGACAATTTCTGCATAGTCAATGCTCAAAGGTGAAGGGTTAAAAACCGACTGTATTTAGTGACCTCGACTTTTGTACAAAAAATGCAAAATAAAAATGGGATCTTAGGTCAAAAATTGGGGTACAACAGCTGCCCCTATTTAAGTTTCTTCTATCCGGAGATATGAATATTCGAATCTTCATTTCGACGAGATTGAAGGGACTTAAATATAGAATACACAATTTTTGGTCTTAAGATACCGCAATTACGTTTATGATATGATATGAATGAAATGCTCCGAATTTTATGGGGAATGACGCCATATGAGACAGACTATGCTGGAGAAACCAAGCACATTATACAGCCATCCCACAAGGGAAGAGATTATAATTCCACTGGGGAAACAAAAGTCATAGACTTCAAATGAGAGACTCTTGAATGATTTACATCAGTGTTGAGACTGAAAAAGAGAATGATTTACATCAGCACTGTGACTGGAAAAGGAAATGATTGACATCAGTACTGAGACTGGAAAATGATTGACATCAGTACTGAGACTGGAAAATGATTGTCATCAGTACTGAGACTGCAGATAAACATCTCTAACTTCTAAATTATACCAAGAACGGTACCAGAATTCTTTTTTAACCAAGATATCGCTTCAAAAGGATAAAATACAAGCTTCCCCATGGAACTCTTCCAAAGAGGTGTCGTTTGCTGAGTAAACATTATTGTTGGGGATACACAAGCTGCTCAAATAAAGAGGCCGCCACTTGTTATCTTTCAAAGGTGTCAATAACATACAAGTTGCTCATGAAGAGACCGTCGCTTGCTGTTTTTCAAAGATAACAATGACACACAAGTTGCTCATGAAGAGACCGTCGCTTGCTGTTTTCAAAGGTAACACTAACACACGAGTTGCTCATGAAGAGACCGCCGCTTGCTGTTTTTTTTCAAAGGTAACAATAACATACAAGTTTCTCATGAAGAGACCGCCGCTTGTTGTTTTCAAAGGTGACAATAACATACAAGTTGCTCATGAAGAGACCGCCGCTTGTTGTTTTCTCTAAGGTATCAATAACATACAAGTTGCTCATGAAGAGACCGCCGCTTGATGTTTTCAAAGGTGACAATAACATACAAGTTGCTCATGAAGAGACCTCCACTTGCCATTTTCAAAAAGCGTTGATAACATACAAGTTGTCCATGAAGAGACTGCCGCTTGCTGTTTTCTCAAAGATACCCATAAAATATCATGAAGATATTGCTGGAGGTGAGAATCAATAATTTCATCGAGGATGGACAAACTGCTCATGAAGAGACCGCCATTTGTCGTAGAGAAATCAGAAATAATCAAACTGCTCAAATAAAGAGTCAGTCGCTTGTTGTCATGTCGATATTCCAGAAGAAGGTTATGATAAAACCACTAGGGAATAAAGTTCATCTTCAATGGGGAACCATGAATAAATCCTTCTTGAGGAGACCAAGTATTTACATTGTAAAATAAATGCACTCTCCATCTAGGTTTTACAGCATAGAGATATCCACAGGGTATCATTCACAAGAGACAAAGCTCAATCCAGGAATAAACTGGAGAGAAAACAGTCAAACAAGACTCCAACCAACGAGGAAACAACTCAAATGGGGATTTATCCTATCCAGAGATGGAAAAGGAAAGCTAAAGCAAGATTCTTCCACGAGAGTTAACTCAGTGGGGAATTAGAAAAGAGGCGCACTTTCTGCTTAAGCTGACACTCTATTTGGAAAGATCAAATACGTTATTTGAATAGACATAACCAAGGTATACGAACTCAAAGATATCAACAAATACAAATGTGCGTGCATGATGCAAGTGTGAATGAATAAATGAATGTTATGTATATGCTGACAAAACAAATAGAGGAAATAGACAGAAGATGATAAGACACCACAGCACAACCCGACACTCAGCTAATCTCAACAAGATGGTAACATTACTGGAGATAAAAACAAAAGCCATCATTGGAGCAAAGTCCTTTTACAAGGCTTAAATATCTATGAAGAGGAAGATAATTTTTTGGTAGAAAACCCAAAGTCCAGTCTTCTATCGTCAACAATCCATTGAAAGGATAACAACACAAACAATGTTTCAACTGGAAAAAAATCATGCTTAGCTGGAGATACTGGAAACACCACCCTATGATAATGTGTGCAAAACATATCACATATCTTGATAAATCTGGATTGCCCCTGGGACTAATTTTGGATGCCCCAAGTTTACTGCTGATAAGCTGCATGTTGCACGACAATTTTTGCGAATAACTTCACTTATAAAATGCCCCGAGCTATATGGTTGATGAGGAGAAATCGTCTCAAGAGGATTTTACAAAAGACCTGGCATTCACCATGCTCTGGTGTCTTCAAACTCTTAGAGAGATTCATCCAATCTCTACGTGATTGCCCCGGATTGATTGTAGTCAGCACAACAAAGTCTTCGAATTTTTGCCCCAAACGAGCAAACAAGTTGGGAAAAGCATTAACTGGGAGAAGCAACATGTTCGTGCTTACGGTCTTCAGGTGACATGCTCATGGATATGATTTTTTCTTGACGTGATCCGTCAATTACTCAACATAGTTTCAGGCCTTAAAAGAATAAACTCATCACTGGTGCTTATATGAGCTTCCTTGATATCAAACAAATGTTTTGCAGTTAGAAAAAGTTTACAATGAGAATGAAAATTCTAATGCAACAGTTATGTAAGTCTTGAAGATTTTGAAAGATATCGCACAAATTTTGCGAGCTAAAGCACCATTTATTTTTGTATAGGAAAAACATATGATACCAACATAACTATTTAGAACATTCATGGGAGTCAGGAACACTATCTCATTGAAGTATGCTTTCAAAATAACCTTGCTTCAATTAGGACTTTTGAAGGTTGTAACGTGGTCTGGTTCATGGTTTTTAGAAAAAAGATTTTAAGGCTCAAAATATTTGGTGCCCACCCCCTTCATGATGTTCTCCAATCCTATGTTCAGTTAATTCAACATGAGCGTTCATCTCTCAAAAGGATTTTGTGACGGTCAAGGAAACGACGAGGCTTTCAGAGTAGAAACCAACCTCATGTCTTCATGTTTATAGTCATCAATTTGTTCTTTGCTGAGGACTTTTCTTTGCAGTCCTTTTCTTTGCAATTTTTATTTTCCCTAACTTTTGCCTGAACTAATTCTTTTGAATTGATAGTCCAGCGGGATGCCTTAATTTTGCCTAAGTCACACGTTTTCATGTTTTTTTTTGACTTAGCAGGCTTTTCTTTTTCTTGAATTTTGACTTTTTGAACAAAATGTGTGACATTAGCTTGTCTTTGCTTGTTGAGAGGATTGTGATTGCCTCGTTTCTTGATGAATGAGGGATAACATTGTGGTTCCACATCCTCTAGATTCATTATACATGAAGGATAGCCCTCGTAGTTTCTCTTCAAAAAACATCTTCCTTATGAATTTTGAACACTCAGTCAGATTAACTAAAAACTACCCTGCCCCAGGTTAAAATTCAAGGTTTTTTCGTATAGAAAAGAAACTTCTGCTTCAAAGGCTCAAAAGGGGTTAGCAAGGGATTATCTTCCTTATA